CTCTTCTATTCTTCATCTCATGATTGTTATAATTTTCTATGTAAATGTATAATGTGCAGAGACATGATGCTTATTATTTAAAGAATTTATTAGAAAAAGCTGTTGTAAAGATGTCTGTGCTTTTATTTTATGTCACAAAATAGTAATGTCTGGTATACATTTCAGGTGGGAGATTCGTGGATAACTGACCGCTGTGAACAGAGGTGCAGCTGCAGCCTTGGAGGACAGCTGTCTTGCACATCCTTTGAATGCAATGAGAACTCAATCTGTGATCTTGACAACAATGGAGACCGTTACTGCAAACCTGAGAGTGAGTTTTACAAAGCGAAACACTAAGAATGAGGGGAAAATGTCAATAAATTGATTAATTCAGACCGTCTGTGCTGAATTCTGAATTGAAAACTTACATTTAAAGACAAAAAATTGGAAGATTTTGACTGCTAGTCTTGTCAAATATAATATTTCAATAATTACATTTGAATATAGTAACATTGCTAAATCATACCCAAAGCGAGTAGATATTAAGCCCAAAATAATGGCATAATGGACAGCTAAGCTATATTACACAGCAAGGAATACTTAATGACCAAAGTTTTCGGGTTTAATGACTGGGCCTGGGCATCTAGGCAAGAAATGTTTATCATAGACCCTCTAAGCAGTTTCCAGATTAGTCTTAATGTCCACCTCAGGGATGAACTAACTCAAATGTATTTGAATTTTCACAGAATTCGATGACTGCAATATTGCTGGTGATCCTCACTATCGAACCTTTGACAATTACAATCACCACTACCAGGGAGCGTATACATATGTATTAACCCAAGGAAACAATCTGCCAAGCTCCCTCACCCCTTTCAGTGTCCGCGGCAAAAACCAAAGGCAGGGAGGAATCGGTCGGGTGTCCCTTCTGCGTGAGATCTATGTGGACGTGTACGGCATTAGTGTTCGCATGCAACAGAAGAAGAAAGTGCTGGTGAGAGAATCATGGGATATGTAGTCTGTCCTAATAGATGTATCTAACAGACTTTCAAACCACTGCTACTTCGCACGTGGATTACACTATATAGTAAAATGCCACATCATAGGAGTCTTTTGCATTGTTTTCCTCCATCAGGTCAATGGCGAGAAAGTTGGTCTTCCATACAGTCCTGTACAGGGAGTTAACATAAAAACCAAGTCTCGCTTTGTTTCGCTCACAACTGACTTTGGCCTTTCAGTGCGATTTGATGGCAATTCCCATGGAGGTACAAGACCCAATCTCAAACTTAAAATGAACATTATAACAATTCATCAAGGATTTTTTTGTTGTACTTGCTAATTTTTTTGGAAGTTTATAATCACAAACACTCTTTCTCTTCCTCTCACCTAAAGTTGTGAGTCTTCCGAGTGTATACAGATCCCGTGTGCTCGGTCTGTGTGGTAATTATGATGGACGCACCAGTAATGAGTACACAAAACCAGACGGCACAGTTACACGCAACCTCAACGAGTTTGGAGACAGTTGGAGAGTAACTGACAAAAATGGGGCGGGTCTTCGTATCACACCCCTACCGAAGATGGTGCACCTGCACAAGTACGGGACTATCAGATTATCTGTTATGCTATGCATTATAAATCAGCTGGGATGAAGTTCACCCTAATCATATAAAATAACCTGAAAAGAATCATCTGAATTAATTCTACTCCTAAAAATCCTGTCTTTGCGATCAGGCGTGAAGTGGAGGCCGATCCAGATTCAGGGTTTGAGACGACGGGCTGCACAGAGGCTCAGCTGACTGAGCTGAATGAGAATAAACAGTGTGGGGCACTCAGTGACCCTGCTGGTCCTTTCGCTGCCTGTAATGCTGTGGTCGATCCAAGCGTGTTCCAGGAGTGAGTAATGTGTGCATGTGTTTGTGTGTGAGTTTAAACTCTAACGACAGCAAATACTGTGCGAGTTTGAGAATAACATAATGTGTAGTGGGTGTGCATTGCACTAACTCTGAACGAGTGCATGTGTCATGTGCATTGTGTTTGACTGAGATGAACGCTTGATTTATGGGTGTTGGTACAGATTCACAGTACTTCATGACCGTGTATGTGTGTGTGTGTTGCAGGGATTGTGTGTTTGACCTGTGTGCTGGACAGGGCAGTGATGTATTGCGCTGTGACAGTTATGCCGTCTACGCTCGGGCTTGCCAAGATCAGGGTGCCCCAATAAAGCAATGGAGAGAGACGCTGAAGTGTGGTATGAAAAAATAAATAAATGCAATCTTTATCCAGCGTATAGCACATACTGCTTTTCCAAAAAACTTTGAGATCAGTAAGGTTTTTCTCTCACAAAAATAAGCAGCACAACTGTTTTCAACATTGATAATAACAGCATGTGTGACTAAGAACAAATGAGTAATGCACAATAACATTCTAGTAACTACTATTAAAGGGTACATATCATGCTTTTAAATCATTCATTTTTACTTATAAATCATACATTTGTGGTCTATATAAAGCATAACTGCAATGCTTGGGTCTGAATTCCTCATTATTATAGCTCCACAGGCCCTTTCTAACCCTTTCCTGATGTGCTTCTGTGAGCAAGTCGTTTTAAAGCGGCCCCTTTAAATAAAAAGCAGTTACATCTTTCCCCGCCCGGTCGGTCGGTTCAACTCCCCCCGTTCGGCCATTATTGTAGTTTGATAAGAGCTATACGATTACTGTAGCTTCAAAGAACATTTTATTCACACGTTAACAAAATGTCAACAACGGTAGCCTACTGGTAACCAAACGGTTCGAGGTCCAAAAGACAGTTTCAGTGCAAACTGTTCAAAGGGCTTTAAACGATTCCAGATGATGAATAAGGGTCTTTGCTCTGTCCTGTGATGCACGTTTGTGACTCTCCTGTTCGATCTCATTTATCAAAATGAACAAATCTTTTTTTGTGTCTTTTGGTTCATTCAACAAACGAAACGAACGAATTGACTCGAGAAAAGATTCTTTCATTTTGATGAACGAGTTCAACCAAGAGAGTCACGAATGCTCATCGCAGAATAGAGCAAGGCAATCATTTGAGCTTATAAAACTTAAACTTTGTTCATTTTTTTTTTAATTGGCCGATCGTTTCGCTTGATAAGACCCTTATTCATTGTCTGGAATCGTTTAAAGCCCTTTGAACAGTTTGCAGTTTGCACTGAAACTGTCTTTTGGACCTTGGACCGTTTGGTTACCAGTAAAGTGCATTATATGGAGAAAAATCCTGGAATGTTTTCATCAAAAACCTTAATTTCTTTTTAACTATAACTACTCCTTTAAGAATACTGATCAAAATAATTAGTTGTTTCTTCAGAAGGATGTACTGTATTAACGCTTGATTCCTTGCATTATTCATGTTAATTATAAGCCTATATATAGTAGTTCTCTGGGAAGTATGAAACGAATAGTAGTTACTTATTAGCTAATAGTGAACTACCCCATTCAGCTGAGCGCTATTACTAAAAACTTAGTATCTAGTTGGTTACTAGAATGTTAATAGTGCTTTATTTGTTCATAGTTAATCTTTAAAGATGGAACAGTATTCTAAAGTGTTACCAATACTTCTTTCAAAAACATCGAAAAATCTTACTGACCCTAAACTTTTGGTACCGAATGTAAAAATTCGACTTGTATATCCACGTTTCCTCTTTCGCATATACTTTCCTGATTGTGTGTGTTTGTGATCACATTCAGATCCGCAATGTGGGGCCAACAGCACCTACTCCTTCCTTATGACTTCATGCCCGGCGTCCTGCGCAGACCTTGCGGCTCCTTCAGATTGCGAGCAAACAGAATTAGTGGAGGGATGTCAGTGCGGCTCTGGTTTTGTCCTGAGCGACCAAGACTGTGTGCCTTACAGCCAATGTGGATGCACTTATCTAGATCGCTACTATCCGGTGAGGCTTTTGATGCATGATACTACAGGTTAAAGCTTAAGATGTAAGATGAACTGCACCAAAAGATTCAACAAGACATTGCACTTGCTGATCATGTTTTTCTGAACCCTACAGCTCAAGGAGACATTTGTGACAGACGATTGTTCACAGATTTGTGAGTGTACTACAACTGGAGCTGTGTGTCGAACAAAGACCTGTGGTGACAACGAGATCTGCACTGTGTACGAGACCAAACGCGACTGTTATAAAAGTGAGCTTTTGATTGAGATTACTCTTAAAGCATTTTTATCAATGAATATGGATATTCTAGCTCAAAATACACTTGATAAATATATCATGCCTAGCTTGAGACCTTTCTTACAAATAATAGTAGATTTTTAACTTCTTTTGCTCTATATCTCTCTCAGTGAGTCCATGTTTGAGCTCACCCTGTCAGAACGATGGTATCTGTGTGGAAAAAACAGATGGTTCTGGGTACACCTGCACTTGCCCTGAAGGTTTTGAGGGCACAAACTGTGAGCTCTTTAAAGTCCCCACTGAGGATGAGGAAGGCCTGGGTAAGCGATTGTGAACATACTGTATTCTTTAATGCTTAAAAATGAAACCGTATGCCAGTGATGTGTAATCAGAGTTTTTACCTGCTTGCTGTTTTATAGATAAAACATCTATCATCTTGATTGGAGTCCTTGTGCCGCTTGGCGTCATCCTCATAGTCATTGCTATTGTGTGCATTTACAAGAAGTGCTGGTAAAGAATAAACTCTAAAACACTGATCATACAATGATGTAAAAATTGTTGAAAGCCAAGCTTTTTTTTTATTTTTATAAATGTATGATTTTTTTATCTCTTTTTACACAGCCGCAAGAAAAAGAGGTATGATGCAAGTAAAATTGAACTGAGCAAAAAGGGTACGTGATAACTGATTGTCTTTCAAAAAAAAAAAAAAACATACTATGAGAAGTATAATATGAGCTTTAATTTGAGTGTTTTTGTTCACAGATCATCCCTATGACAATCTGGATGATAGTAAGCAGGGAGCAGACAACAGCGAGCTGAATGCAACAACATTCTGACCTGGTTTTTGACATTGATTTGTTGATATGTAAAGATTTTGAAAAAAATATTTATTCACTTTCAAATGTCTTTGCGAAGCAACCAGCAAAACCTCTGTTAATAGTTTATCAACCTTTCAGTAACTTATTTATGAACTTTATGTAATTATTGGTGTGAGTTGTGATATGATTTGGGAAACAATGCAATTTTCAAATGTTTGTGAACATCTGATATGAAATAAATTATATTTTCAGTCATTTTATGGCAATTTTTTGTCAATAAGTTAACAAGACAATTTATCCCCTGACTGCTTTTATTCAGCTTGTTCAAGTGCAACAATCCAATAACACATTTCCAACAACTCTGAACACTTTTGTTAACCCTTTAAACAGCATTGTAATTAAAGCTGTATAAAAACAAAAATGCACAAAGCAGTTCATAGAGCAGAAAAGTAAAAATTGTCTTTGTCGACTAGTTATCTATATGATTGAGTGCTTCTTTCAAGTCTTTGCCATTTAAAAAATGCAAATAGTCCAAAAAACACAATACAAGCACAATACTCAACAGCTCTGACACCTTTTGTCAACTTCTAACCTCAGTATATCTATACAGACTTGGAGTAAATCCAATGGTTAGAGTTGGCATTTCTCATCCCCGCCACGTCAATTAATAATTGTTCCGTGTAAAAAAGAAAATGTTTTAACTCAAAGCAAATGCTCCTTTGTTTGAACATTTCTTCTAAAATAACTTACAAAAATGTAAATAAAGTGCTTACAAAAAAACAAACAAAAGAAAAACAATATCATCTACATCTTTGTTGAAAATTAAATGTGATAAATTGACGCCTTTGAGAATAGCATACCAAACGTTTTCTGAACATTTCCTTCTGCAATAAACGGTCTAATTGTGCTAAGTGACCTTTCTTCACAAGTTTTCACTATAAAATAATAACAAATACATAGTCAAGATGCAAATATGGAAATTACAAGTGAAATGAGAATTTAAAAAAAAAAAAAAAAACATCACAGTGTTTATATTAAAACATTTTATCTACAATATGGTTTTGGATCAGTGTGTTTTACATTTCTGCAGAATAAGAAGTCTTCCCAAAGTTTTTAGTTCGAAAAAATTAAACATTCAAGGTCCTATCTTCAGAGACATTATAAAACCATGTGCAATATTCCACAACAAAAGAAAAGCTTTTTCAGTCCTAAGGATGATTCAGTAGTCCTTACATGTAAACATCGATGCAAAGAAATCAATCATAACCCCATTAAATGGCTCGATGGGGTGACACTTTACGCCAGTTGATAATTGATTATCACTACAGCCAAAGGGGTTGTATATATGAAGCTCTCTGTGAAAGTCAAATGTTCAGCTTAAATGCATAGAAATCAATAGTACTGTATGGCCAGAATCTGCCCTGACACTGACCGGGAATTTGTTCCTGGATATCTAGCGGGAGAGGGATAAGATCATTCTGGAGCAAAACATTAGACCACATTTTTGAGAGCACACACACTGTAGTAGCAATGTGACAGAATGTCTCTAAATCCATAAAAGGAGGAGCAGAAATAAAATGGCACCAGCCAATAACACAAGCTCCACCTTCAAGAACCAGAAGTGACTTGATTTATCCGCTCTCAGGCAATGAAAGGTTGTGAGTGATTACATAGGAAACCTTTATAAGTTGAACACAGCTTGATGAACTGGAGTGTTAACATTACAACAGTGAAATAATTCAATGAAAACATCAAATAAATATAAATTTAACAACAAGTGTGTATGACTATTGACTGAGTGAGGAATATATGTGACATGGAGTTTCACTGCAAGATATAATAAAGGCCAGACCAAAAAAAAAAACAACATTTCAGTGTACAGGACTGGAAATTAAAGAAACTTTCTGATTGCCTGCAGGTACAAAGTTGCGAACCATCTTTCAAGTATTTAAGAAAAAAAATTAAAATCACTTTTACAAAGTGGAATGCAAATGACAAAGAGGAATTAAACATGGGCAATGCTGGCAGTGTTGACAAATGAAATGTAAAGACATCTAAAAAAAAAATCATCCAAAACTAAGCAGCAAACAGAGAAGGGGGAAACCGTACATTTGCATGTTGCATGCTTTTACAATAGGATTGTAAAATTGACTTCATATTGTCTGCACTGATTTTTGAGAACAGTTTTACAGAATGGATTTGAAGAGCAAAGTGGGTTTCATGAAATGTTAAGACTCTAATTGTTAGCTAAAAACATTACCAAAATACCCAAGCTATTTAACTACTAAACCAACATTCTTTAAGAAACTTTAGTTTCTTCAGAAATCTGACATTTCTGAGTGTACAGATTCCATCTTGATCTGTGCATGACTACCCAGACAGTAATATAGTGTCGGCTCAGATCCGGGCAACATCTGGTACATGTGGATTCTATCTGGATCTGGGCCGACACTATGTTGTTGTCTGGGTAACCGTAACCGTCCATTCTTCCCTTAAACAGTAATAAATACACTTTTCACTTTCAGAACTTCTTGAAACATCCTATAAACAATAAAAACCCTGTGTGTTTATGCTTTCTTTTCATTCCTTCAGTCAAAATTGTCAGTAGCCGAACATTAAATGCATCGAAATTATTTAAAATAATCACACTGTACAGCATGTAAACAATAAATGCTGGTAAAAAGAACAAAATAAATACCTACAGAATGGAAACTGAAAGACAATGGACATTAAACCCTTTTTCCAATTACACTACATCATGACACATGGTTCTTCCCCAAAGTTTGAGAATATCTGTAACTCCTCTCCCTGGGTGCGTGTGCATTTAGGTGTGTGAATCCAGAACCAGCACCTTGCACTCACGCTTGGCTATTTTGTCAAGTGACAAAATGTTCCTGTCTGGAGGGAGGTACAGCGGCCGACCAACAGGAGAGCCCACGGGAGGGGTGATGGCCCTGCGCTCCATAACACTGCCTGTCCTGTAAGATACAAACAAACATTAAAGGGTTAGTTCACCCAAAAATGAAAATTAAGTCATTAATTACTCACCCCCATGCTGTACCAACCCCGTAAGACCTTCGTTCGTCTTCGGAACACAAATGAAGATATTTTTGATTAAATTTGAGAGCTGTATAACTACCACATTGGCTCCTAAGGGACTGCCTCTTGACGGCCCAGAAAGTCAATGAAGAAAATGTTTAAATATCCCAAGTGACTACCGTGGCTCAACTATATGTTTATCAAGCGACGCGAATACTTTTTGTGCGAAAAAACAAACAAAAATAACGAGTTTATTCGACTATTTCTTTTCTTCCTTGTAGGCCAGAAACGAGACTTCCTTAGATTTCCACGACGCATGCGCGAGAATTGCGATCTGAAGTAGTGTAAGCTGGTGTGAGCAGATCGCAATTCTCGCGCATGCGTCGTGGAAATCTAAGGAAGTCTCGTTTAGAGAAAAATCTTTATAGAGAAATTACGAAGGACAACCTGTTTCTACTAATAATTTAAAATATTTTTAAATATATATATTTAAAAGGGGGGAAACAGGCGTTAGCATAAACGACAACGAACAAAGTTAAGCCTGACACAGAGAAAGGGATTCGTCTTTGGGAGAAAAAGAAGAAATGACATTTGGAAAAACTTTCATTTCATCATGGCTACTTCTAACATGTTTGCTTGGTAAAATAAATATGTTGTAAATTCAAATCAGAGCGTCTTCCGTGTGTGGAATGGATGTATTCTTGAGTCTAAGGTAACAGTAATATAATAAGATAACTATAAGAAGATATGGTTGTTTAAAATGGGTTTGGCTAAAAGAAAATTTTGGTTTTGTCTATACTACTAGGTACTTATACTATATTGACTGGGTTAAATAGCATTGCATAACTAAAAAGAGACTAAAATATTATTTTCATTGACTGTCTTTTGTCGGTTAAACTAGACTAAAATGTCATCTAAAATGTGTTTTTGTTGACTAAAACTAGACTAGACTAAAAAGAGCATGAACGCGACTAAAACTAATAAAAACTAAAACGACAGCTTGACACAAAGACTAGACTAAAACTAAAATTAATACAGGCCGCCAAAAACAACTCTAGTCAAAACACCAAACACCATTCAAACTGCTTTCTACAGATGCGAAAAACGCATAAAATCAAAAAAAAATTTGTGACAGATGAAAGTTTCGGAGGCAGTGTGCGAGTGTGATTGACATAACGTGAGGTTGTATTTATTTTTTAATGTGTGAATATTTCGGACAAAATAATTTTGGACTCAGTGTGCAAGGGCCTTTACTCCAGTCCTCAGTTACTCTTCAAGAATCGTTCTAATATGTTGATTTGGTCCTCAAGACACATTTCTTATTATCAATGTTGAATAAATTTTTCAAACAGTTTTTTAAAAATTATATTTTTGTAAATCTGTGATTTTTTTATGAATAGTATAAAGAATGTACCATTTATTGTTATTGTACCAAACTAAATATTAAAATATTATCTGGAATGCGTTTAAAAAATGTTGTTTTAATTGTTAATTGTTGTTTAACAGTTGAACTTTGTCCTTCCACTATGTGAGTAAAATCAAATCTAAAATAAACATTTAAAATTAATTATTTATTACTGTTAAAAAGACTGTGAACAGAAATACAAATTTATTTATACATACAGAATAGAATGAAATAGAAAACAAAGAATGAGACTTTAGTAAATTATAATATGAAATGAATATCTAAAGGTAAAGTCCCCCAAGACAGCTCGATAGGTTGTGCAACAAACTTGTGCACAAAAGTTTACTTGTGTAGAGTATGTTTGTGTGCGTTTGTGAGAGAGAGAGAGAGAGAGAGAGACACTGAAAGATTAAACCATATTTACAGCATGTAAAATATGTGGAGATCATCATGTGTGAATGTGTATACCTTGTGAGGTGAAACTTGGATGGTTGCTGGTGAGAAAAGGACTGAGAGCGGCCCAGACTGAGACTGGCCTGATGTCGGTCCAGAATGTCTCTGACCGCTGGACTCGACGGACTGTTCTTGCGGGACAAAGGACGGGCATCAGGGGGAGGGTTGGACACGGATGCTGTGAACTGTAGCTTCAGTTTCATGTGCTGACTCAACTAAAGACAGAGGAGATAGAATAGCGGATACTGAGGTGTTTACATCCAGTAATTCAGTTCATTGGTTTTGTTGAAGGAAGTGAAACAGAACAATGAATTCCTCACATGCAACACAGACTTAATGACTCTTTACCTCAAAAAGGCCAGCTCGGAGTATCTGGAAAGCCACACTGACGGAGAGGGTACTGCCTTTCCGACAGTAACCCAGGTTACTGAGAGGAGAATGACACACCACTGCATTCACTGCAGGATCCTCTTTCTGTCCACGACCTGCGTAGACAATAGGAGGATCAAAAACCAAAAGGACATGCAATAAAAAAAGAGATGTAAAACAACAACAACAACATTTCAGCCATAATCAAGAATTTAGCACACATGCATCAGGCACATGGAACTATGAGCAGCATACTCATGCAGGAGATGCGTTATTATGTCTTGATCTCCCCATCATTTCCTGTCCTCTCTGCAATTTCTTTTTGAATAAAATAGCAAAATGTCCCAAAAATGAAAAAAGAAGCCAAAACTCAAATAACCTTAAAGACTATTTCCATAAGAATAGAAGAAAACCTACAATCAAATACAAATGAGTTAAAACAGGCTGATTTGTCCTTCTGCAATGAAGTCAGGAAGGATTCTTTTGCTTGTACGTCTTTGATTAGCTCATCTGGCATTACAAATACTCGCATTGTCATAGCTGGAGACTCAAACTCTCAGCTATCTACATCTACAAGAAAGGACCACACCCTCTATGAGCTAATGACATTGAGAAATGTTCACCTTCGCTCTCTACTCTGCCTTTATCAAGCCTAGATAGTGTTGCAAAACTTTTTTCTCAACTTCACAAACAACACTACTCGATTTATTGATTTATCTCTCATTCCTTAAAGCCCTCTCATCTTTATTACTATATTCAGGCGCAGTGTTGCTAGATTGGGTGGTTTTCCGTTTTTTAATTAAAAACATTTTTTGTTAATTAAAATAAATCTGAAATAAAATATGAATATGGGGGAATTTTAATATTAGGAATATTGCCTTGGCAACTAACTGAAATAAGATAAGTTGAAGTACTAAAATTAAAAGTGAAATAAAAATAAATTAAACCAATTCTAAATGTAAAAAAAAACTAATAAAAATGACAAAACCTCGTAACAAAAATGAAAATATCTAATTAAAAGAAAATTAAAAATATTTACAAATACTATAACAGTGTTTAAACAATGCTAAAAACACTATTTAATAAAAACATATAATATATTCGTCCATATACTTACCATACAGTCTATCAAAGCTGACACTAACCCTGGCCACTCTAAGCCACTTTTTTTTTTTTTTTTTTTTACCATTTTACCAGTCCTCAGGGTTATTATAGTTTAGCATTTTTAAATTAGTTTTGATTTTAATATCATTTTCAAATTATTATCATTTTCAAATTTTCTATAAATTTAAGTTAGTTAAGATAGTAAAAGGTCGGAAGACCACATTTGGAGATTTTCAGAGATTAGAGTCTCTAGGCTTACATCTCAACACTAAATCACTCATATAGAAGCCTGTCTCAAATACAAGCCGGTGCAGTTCGACGATTTGGGAAAATAAAAGCCTGGGCTTTTATTTAAAGTTTTACAGTATTAATTACAAAAACGCTTATTTATTTTTGCTAATTATTATTTTATTTCAGTTCGTTTTCCAGTAACTGTTGTTAGTTTAGTTTTAGTTTTTCATTTTTGTTGAAATATCTATTTTTATTTTCAGTTTACGAAAATATTCTTTGACCAATTGGTTTAGTTTTAGTTTCGGTTTACGAAAATAATATAGGTCCTCACCTTCAGGCGTCCAGACTAGTCGGACTGCCAGAAAGTCCTGCAAGTTGTTGAGGAGGGTATATCGCACTCGGAAATGCTCACGGGCCTTGACCGCACTGGGACAGCTGGCGGTCATAATAAAGCGTGGTCGGTCCAGTCTTACGCTGGGGAGACTATAGTGAGTGTAGATAAAGTTGGTGAAGGGCAGTTTAGAAGTAGACCACTGTAAGACTGCAACTAATGGCACCTCCAGTCCCTGCAGCAAACAAAAACATGACATTTTATTAAAAATATTTATTTTGTTTTTAAATAACATCAAAGTTTTAAATTATCAGAAAGAAGATGCACAAAAAACAGGCTGTGAGATGTATATTTTTTAGCCTGTCCCAAACAACATTTTTACTATGTAATGTAGTACATAATGATTGATGGCCTACCTCCGTTGAATCATCTTCTGGCTGGTTATTGAGCTGCAGCTGGAAGAGAAAGTTCTGCTCCTCTAGAGCACTGAGCATGCTGGGAAGGTGGCTCGACTCGCTGTCCATTCTATAAAATGATGCCATGGCAACTTCTCCCGACTGATGACTGAAGAAGATAAATGCAATATCAAAAACCTATCAAACATCCGAAAAATTATATGCCATGGTAACTTCTCCTGACTGATGATTAAAGATGATAAACATAATATCAACCTTTCAAACATCCGAAAAGGTTATTTTTTGAACGTACAGAGAGACTGTGATTTCCTATTAAAGAATGGTACAAAAATCCAAATGCATGACTTTATTTTCCCTGTAATTCATCACAGTTAATACCAAGATTTGCATTTCCTCAAAGAACAATTACATGGTTAAATATGTTCTAGGAAGTATGCGTCACATTTTTTTTTTTCAAAAATTATGTTGACGTCTTCATGGCTGGTTACATTTTGAATGCTGAAAATTGTACAACTTTTATAAACTTTTCTCTTAAATTTCTTAATATGTATGATAAGTCAATATATAGTCCAACAGATCTTGTGTTATCTACAACACAATTTTTTAATGTTCTGTTAAGCGTTTCAAGTTGAATAGTCAATAGCATATACTGTAGTTCGCTTAAGAACAAAACCCTAAACTTTGTAAAAACAAGACTTTATAACAAACCCTAACCAGAATGTTTGAGGACGTTATCAATAGACTGATAACTGCACTGCAATCACACTTGCAGGTGTGTGAGGTCACGCATAATGTGTTTTCTCTTACCAAACATTGTCCACCAGCAGCACCGAGCCATCTGGCATCACTGGTAAGTATGAAGCATTGAAGTTGGGGAAAATTTTGACGTCACGCACACACACTTCTTCTTGAGAACTCCCGTTTAACACTGAAACAGTCAGATGTTCATATACATAAACAGGACGTCTATCACATAAGGAGACAGGAAGCCACAAAGATCAAAAAGAAAGTGCATACAAAAGCGAAACATAATGCCCACAGCCCATCTCACACACACATACCATTTTAGCACAAAGGTGTCTACTGATGTGCTTACACAATAGCGGTGATGACAAAATGCATGTAGTGCATCAGCGAATGAAACGGTCAATGTTTGAACATAGTTGGCAGATAAAGGACAGTCTAATAAAGTCATAAATATATATTTTACAAACATATCCATGCATCCTCCCTTGAAGACTGTGTGAATAGATATGGGAATAATTCTACAATGAGATATGAATATATATTTCTTCACTCCCTTACATTAGGGATTACTAAAGACATACTCAGACATTACACTAAGCATTACATCATACTCAGAAGACACAGACACACACAGTTCTGAAAAACTCATAAGAGACCTTCTTTTTTAAGAGAATCAATTATATTAATAAAGCCTATATTTATATATATATATATATATATATATATATATATATATATATGAAGAGTTCAGATGCAAAAGCCTCTAAGTGCCATTTGAAATTTTCTTCTAAAATGACTATTTTCATCAAGCTTGTATATTTAAGTTCAGTAATTTCACTTAAATGACAATTAATAGGTAATTATCATTGCCATTTAAGTGAAATTACTGAACTTAAATATACAAGCTTGATAAAAATTATCATTTTAGAAGAAAATTTCAAATGGCACTTAGAGGCTTTTGCATCTGAACTCTTCATATATATATATATATGCTCATCAAGGCTCTTTTTATTTATTTTTATGATCTCTTTTACAATAAAAAGAGTAATATTGTGCAATATTATTACAATGTATAATATGTTTTCTACTTATATATGATTTTTCAGCATCCTTACTCCAATCATGTCACATGATCCTTCAAAATTCATTCTAATATGCTGATTTGATGCTCAAGAAACATTTATTTTATTATTATCAGTTGCAAACAGTGCTGCTTTATATTTTTGTTGAAACGGAGATCCGTTTTCCACAGTAATCTTTTGATGAACAGAAAGTTCAAAAGAAAAGCATTGTTTTTTTTTTTAATAGAAAGCTTAACATTATAAATATTTTCAATGTCACTTTTGATCAACTTAATGTATGCTTGCTGAATAAAATTAAAACAGTTTCTTTTAAAAAAACAAATCTTACTGAATCCAAACATTTTAATGGTAGTGAATATGTATCATGTGTGCTCATAAAATGTAAGAAAGAGAAATAGGGCTGACATTACCTTTGAGGACAGTTAAGTGTCTCCCGGAAACTGTCATTTGCTGACACTTCACCGCGGGAGGGGGCAGGACGTTGAGTGTGGTGCTGACTGTTAGCAAACAAGAGAAAATTATACCAATCTAAAACCACCATTCTAAATTCTAAACAGCATATGTATCTAAAAGGAAAATGCCTTTAAAAATACATAAAAGTGAAAAAGGCAGATCCCAGAGCTCCTGATTCATTAATGACATCATGCAGTATTGTACTGAAGGCAGCAAGAGCTCACCCTGCGCTTTGAAGGTGTTTAGATCCTGGCGGAACGTTATGCAGGGGCTCTTTTGTTGGAGGATACTGAGGTAGCCATGTTCTTGGATCTCAGCTTTCTCCTCTTCTTGTTTCCACACAGTCACAATTATCTTCATGGAGGTAACACACAAACATGAACACATAATCAGAAGTGTGATCAGCAACACATGCAAGGTGATGTGGCATAGTGTGAGCACTGGTGTTTGATTTAATCATTTTTTGCACTCCCACTCTTTGTATTAGAAGAACCTTGCACAAACATGTACAAGTCAGCGGCACAACCGTGTTCTATTTAGTTCCTGTTCTATTTATACCTCAATACCAAATGCAAAACACATAACCACATGCATGAATGCACATGCATATGTGAAGATAAAAACACTAGCCATACCTTTACTTTGAGAGTGTTGACAGGGAGCTTATCCAGGGATACAGTCAGAGGGAAGATGACCTCATCACTTAAAACAACTGGCTCATCTACAGGAGACTGACAAACAAAGTGAAACATGAGACAGGGGACGAGTTAAAGCGCCCTTATTATGCCATTTTAAAGATTTCTAATTTTGTTTTAGAGGTCTTCTACAATAGGTTTAATAATAATAATTTTCTCCTAATATACATTCCTGGGCAAAAGAAATAAATGGGCCAAGCAAAAAAATGGCACAATACTTAATGGTCTTTTAATGGTCTTAACCATTTTAATCACAAATCACTGTTCTGGAAATTAGCAAGAAATGCACAAAAATAGTGAAGATAAAGTAACTTAGCACAGAATAGCCTTCCCCAACTTGCAGACAGCTTTTTACAGGAAGAAGAGTCAGTGTTTTTCCACTCCTTGGCTTTAACCAGATCATGAGCAGTTGAAAAAATGCCTCCTAGTTCAATTGAGTATAATCATGTGAGACCAAATATTCACAATAGGGTTCAAATCTGGACTTGTCAAAATCCAAAACATGAGCCTGATGGCCACTGAGCCACTTCTTTTCAATTTGGGAAGGAGCATTGTCTTGATGGAAAAAACAACAACAACAACATCTGATCATTCCTCTTTAGATAACAAATTTTCATTTGTGGGAAGCAAGCCATAGTGTAATATTCTTAAATTACTTTTCAGAGGGATGTAGCTCACCAAACCCAGGAGATAATAAGGCTCCTCACACAATGACACCTCCTCCTCCATGCTTCACTGAGGTAGTGAATAGTGATGATGCATTTATTTTTTACATTTCACATCAGATTCTCGAAGGTACCACTTTGAAGCAACACCACGCAACTCGTGTTTCATTATGATTCATCATTCACCACCACCACACACAACTTTCCATATTCTGGCAAAAACTTAATTCTGTCTTTAATCCTTTTCTAAGACAGCAATGGCTTTTTAAGTAGTGTATTTGCTTAAATATTTGCTAATTTCCTGAACAATAATTTGTGGTTAAGACCAGATAGCCGCACAACCTTGTTCTAAAGCTTGAGCATCATGGCTCTGTAATGTCTGACTTCTACAACTGGTACATATAAAATTATTTGCACTATGGGGTGGGACTACCAAGAAAGCAGAGCAAATAGCACTAAAAACTAAGCCCTCATTTCAATAGTGGGCTGTTGGGCTACCTCCCTAAGTTGCACAATCTGTTTGGAAAACTAATCACCATGCTTTGCTTCTCATCAGAGTTTTCAATATGGGAAAAAAATAAATGACTTGATTACAATGACCATATCTGATTCTGTAGACACAATTTACAATCTGCAGGTGTTATTTAACCTTTAAATAGCAGCTGTATGTGAACTACAGAAATACAGATATTTGAGAGGGGGCTGGGAAAAGCTAATCTGTAAAGTTTGTTTACTAATCTGACTAACTTTAGACTGAAGCAGTTTTTCTAGTACTAATAAAAGTGCTCCACATGGCTCAGATTTTGAGTAAAAATATTCATATTTAAAACTTTAAAAGGTAAAATAACTAGCTTCTGGCCAAATGAACATACGGATTCTACTTAACGCAAAACGTAAAACGCAACTTACGCGAGCAATGGGACGTACTGCTGATTTTTACTCTACGCTATGACGCACTACGCTACTTCTGACATCACAAGTTACGCAAGTAGACTGCGTATGGCCGTTTCGCCAGAAGCTAGAATACTTTGTAATGTGTTAAATATTTTTCTTACACAAACTTATCGCTTTTGCTTCAGAAGGCTTTTATTAACCCCTTTGTTGAGTTCTTTTATAATGGATGAATGCACTTTTTTGAGCTTCCATCTAATGGTTGCGATGGTTGCAATCCACTGCCATTTTAAATGCTCGGAAGCACCAGGGTGTTTATTAATGTAACTCCGATTGTATTCGTCTGAAAGAAGAAAGTCATGTAGCTACACCTAGGATGGCTTGAGAGTAAGTAAAATCATGGGCAAATTTTCATTTTAAAGTTAACTACTCCTTTAATAATATTATAAATGCAGTTAACTTCTTTTTGTGTAAAATCTTTCTTAATTGGAATGAAACGGAAGTTGCAATAGTATTTAGTCTTTTCTTCCCTATTGTAACGTATATCCGAGTGAAACAGCTTCTCGAACAAGAAAACACAGGGCGGGACTTGATTATGTCAATCAGCAATTGATTGGATCACAGTGGTTTGCTATTGGTGGATCTCATGTGAGTGACAGAGGTTATTATCTCATCCTCACACTAGTACACACCTCATCAGAGAAGAGAAGATGAGAATAATCTGCAATATTAAAAATGATAATAGTTTTTATTTTTATTTAATGGTGATTTTTTAAACAAAATTTAACTGAGTGTACTGGTAAGTGTTGAAGTCAAGACCTTTATAATACACTGCATGGAATACACATGGTAGCATTTTGGCCCGAGCACTAAAACAGTAAGTTATTTCCATTAATAATAAGACAACCCTCAGTTATAAATTAGGAATGTGTTCTGCATGGTTACCAGCAGCCAAGACACACACATCTCTCAAACAGTACAGTAACAGGAAATATCACCACTTCCGTGTTATTATAGATAAAGTCAAGTGTATTTGCATTCATAGCAGTTAACTTTACCTCTATTATGAACAGTTATAATCCAAAAAGACTAGATTGTTAGTTTACGCACCTGCACAGGAGCCTTGCGGAATTCCCTCACGCCGTTGCCGGGGTTGTTGTGAATGAGGAGCGGCTTGCATTCCCTGAAGCCCCGGTACCTCGGGCCCCCTCTACCTGCGCAGCCCACCTCCGCAGCATCATCATCGTCCGTATCCTCCACACACTCGTCCCCGCTGCTGTGGTAGTCGTGATACAGAGGCTGTGTCCGCTGTCGGTTGTCGCCCGGGCTAACGCTGGCCACGGCGCAGAGAGAGCCGGCCAGCTCCCTCCAAGAGCGACTGTTGTGATGCTCCGAGCCGCTGCCATCAGCTGCCGTAGTGCTCGAGCGCAAAACCAGGAGAAAGCGCACAGTTTCCCCCAGATAAAGGTGACTGCGACGCGGAAGCGTCCGGTATTTGGCCGGGTCCGACAGGTCTGAGATGGGGACGGCCGGGAAATACATAAAGTATTCGCATTGCGATTCCATCATTAACACCATAACCATCACACTGCACTGCAAGCAGACAGACAGCGAAGGTTATCCGTTTAGCCTGTGCAGTCTGCAAATAACACTCCCATTCAAATTGGAATCAATAAATGAAACAAACCCGCTTTACCTTTCTGCTCAGTTCATATTAGGGTTGCCCAGATTGAAGAAAAATTACATTCATCTTATTTTGCCACATTTCGGTTGTCTGCCAGTTGACGTACAATACATTCAAGTGCGCTATATGGCAGGCTTGCGTATCGAGTTCAGATAGAGTAGAGCGCGATGATAACAAGACGAGAATAGTCGCTTGTCGATGAGGGTAAATAAGGGTCTAGCTATTTTGGATATTGTAAATAGTAATTTAATTGAATATGTTATATGTTATATTCAATTACTTTATTTGTACTTATTTTCAAATAAAATGCATTATATTATTATTATTTCCAACAAAACAATATTTAATTATATTCAGCCATGATTGCATGAGAAGTGTTTTGAAGTTTCTGTGTCTAATGTCTTAATTTAAATGTAACTGCAAACACTGCAATTGTTTGAGCTAATTGAGATAATGACATGGTAAATATGGTAAAGTTAAAATGCGTTCTCGTTGAGAAAATGTTCAACCTAAGAGCTGATTAAAAACCACTCCTTATTGTCATGCATTATAGCCCCTTCACCCTTCTTGCTAGCTTTGGAAGTCAGTGAATGCTTCAATATTATTTTATTTTAGCATATTTCATTTAAGGCTACACATATTAAATTGACTGACTTCAATTTTTGCATATTGAACTTACATCAATGCAAAACTGAATAAAGTTGCCCATGACTCATGAGTACGTTCTTATTTACATACTGCAATATGCAAACTTACAGTTCCAGTCTATTTTTCCATTGTTTAATCTAGTATAACAACATATCAGTGTAATGACCTTATCTCATTCAGTTTAGAGATCAATGATAAGGCTTTTAAACATCTGAAACAAATTCATCACAAAAGTTGTAAAAGTTTAAGTTGTTTTATTTTACTACATACAATAACCCAAATCAGGTTGATCACAATCAAAATATTTACAGAGGTTTCCCCATATATTCAAGTAACAAAAAATAATAAATATGGTAAACAGGTTTGAAAAATCTTAGTCAAAGAGAAACCCAACCAGAAACATCATGTGATTCGCATTATGGCCTCAAAAGTGCAGAACAGACATTATTGAGTTTACTTTTCCTGCTCAAATGAAACTGAATGACGCATACTGATTTATAGGTTGTGCTGTAAGAGCAGTGTAGCATTTTTCTCATTTGGAAAGCACAATTTTGAATTAACTTTCTGCCCGTGTCTTTTTATTCCGTTATGAGATGATAGTTGATGTCAGTTGCATCAAATCTGCAAAGATGCAGAATGTGGGCTGCATTTGCCCCTTTGCACGCCTTCTGAATTAATTTTCCAGTCAAAGAATGTAATGAAAAACTGTGTGCCAAATCAAGATTCCAAGCACAGAAATATCAGTACCTCTTTGGTTTATCTTTAAATTGCGTACCACAGATAATCTACCTAAAGAGTCATGAGGACACAAAACCTACTGATTTGAATGAGATGCAGGTATTACAGCACAATATTGCCAGACTTATTACATATCTCATTAAAGAGTATTCACTAAAAAGTTATTATAATTCTCAAGCTGAACAGGAAACCAATGCTTAAATTCAATTTAGGGTGAATTTCTTCCAAATGTTTTACAGCAGCAGCATTAATCTTTTCTTTTTAATGGCAGAAGCATTAAATTAGCCAACATCAGAGTTTTTTAAAGAGAAAAGGGTATTATCAAAATGAATCATTGTGGCTTGAACACTATCAAATCAAGGTTTTTATGTAAAATATAATACGTTTAATGCATCTTCAGACTTGCATCAATTTAGCTCCATCAATAATTACTGCATGTGATCTGCAAACACAGAAGCTACTCAGACCGGAGAATTCAGCGATAAAAACAGTTAACTGGCAATTGTACGATTCAAACTAAAATGAAATGGGGTATTAAAATGCAAGTAAAAATTTGCAGTTTTGTATCAATTACACAAGGAAATGATTGCTACTTATAGCCATGCATCCTAACTATACAATAAATGCCACAACAATAGGCACGACAGTGAGCATACCCAGTGTTTTCTTCATTTCAATAACGTCTGAATTAGAACAGAGGAAAAAAAATTATTCATAATGCAAAATAACGTCTTGCTCTGTGCAATGAAATTTGCAAAAAGCTGGCTGTTGATAGGGGCAATTTGCACAGTGCATTCCAGTCAAATTTCTACACTATGTTTTCTCAGCACTCACAATAAGAGAAAAAAAACATTTAAGTTTGAGAGTATAAATGCAGTAGATACACAGAGAAATTTATACAAAAGCATAATAAATACAGCAAGCTTTGATATTAAAGCACTGCTTCACAAAGGTACTAATAGTAAGGCAAAATAACCATTGAGTTTTGGATTTTCAGGAGGAGTATTTTCTGGTCATTAAAGTGTCTATGACAGGCCTCAGAAATGACAGCATTTATCATGCTAATAAACATTCACCATCATTTTTTCTTTTACTCAAAACCTCAAAATCAAAATGCAGAAAATATCAAACTAGCAAACATCAAGAGGTAAACAGACTGGTACAGGAAGTGCATTGGCCAATCAATGAGGTTGATAAATACAAATCTACAGCCCATTTTGCCCTATATGAATGGTCATAAGTATTTCACAGTGTTAAAAACTTGAGATTTTGCTCTCCCAGACCCATGGGACTCATGATAGCTTATAATGTTGCACGAAAAGTCGAACTATTGCAAGCCTGCTTTTGTGTCTTCTCTTAGTTCCCAGTTTTTAAAACTGAATGTGAAGCATATAAAATAAAAGTTTGCAATGTATTCAATTAAAAAATACTGGCAGGATTCCCGTTTAAAAAAAAAACAAAAACAAAAAAACATATAAATGGATATAAAAATAAATTCAAACCTCTCGAATGTGTGCCAGACTATGAAGGGTCAACTTTTGTGGAATGTCTTCATAAAAAAAAATGTATATTCAAATTATTATTATTATTTTTATTTTTGCATTTCCAATATCGAATAGCTATTTAAATGGAAGCCTATTTTTTAAGAAGTCTCTTATGCTCACCATTTATTTAATCAAAAATAAAGTAAAAAGTAAAAACGGTAATATCGTAAAATATTATTACAATTTTCTGTTTTCTATTTCAGTATCATTACTTCAGCATCCTTCAGAAATCATTCTAATATGCTGATTTGGAGCTCAAGAAACATTTCTTATTATTATCAATGTTATATATTTGAACAAATATTTATAAAGTTCAAAAAAGAACAGGATTTCCTTGAAATAGAAATCTTTTGTAACATTAAAAATGGCTTTAAAGGGGTGGTGTAATGCCCCTTTTCACAAGATGTAAAATAAGTCTCGGATATCCCCAGAGTGTTTATGTGAAGTTTAAGCTCAAAATATTTTTTTACAGCATGTTAATATTGTCTTTTTTCGAGGGTGAGCAAAAAAATGTAGTCTTGTGTGTCCCTTTAAATGCAAATAAGCTGCTGCTCCCGGCACAGAGGGCGGAGCTTCAAGAGCTTGTGTGTGTTAGCCTCACACAGACAAGCACTAAAATGTCAGAAATGTTTCTGAATGGTTAGTTGATACATTTATGTTGCTGATGTAGAGTTAACCATCAAGTCATTAATTAGCATATTCTGTCATGATAATCTATAAAATCACTTGTGGGGGAACTGTTGTAAAATACCGACAGAGTGACATGCTATTGCATTTGTGTTACGTACTGTATCGCATGTGAAAATACGGATGCGATAGCTCGAGCAGACTCACAAATGTGGTGTACTATAAATGTGGTGCAGATGTTGTTTATGCTTAAACAGCATCATTACACACTAACCAAAGTTAGAAAAGTGAAATCATAATCAAACACCTCTTCAATGTCACTTCTGATCAATTTCATGCTCCCACTTGAATAAAGTATTAATTTCTTGAAAAACAAATTTTACTAACCCAAACTTTTGAACGCTAGTATGCACCAAAGATACTTCATATGTTTAAGAGTAGGTTAAACAATATGTTTGAAACACTGCAACCACTTATTTTTGTACCATTCCATGGCTCGGCATGGACAAGGAAGCACCATTCTCACTCATTCTCAATATCAAACTCACCAACAGTGAGCTTATGCGCTTAGCCACCATCTAGGCATGTTTATACCATTATATCACTCCAGCCACTGCAATGTACCTCTTCACCTCGACACTTACTGTTGTAAAAAATAGAGTGTAGAAGGGTAAAATGAGGAGGAAGAGTCGATGAAAAAGTGGTGTGTTGGATATCCCTTCTCCTCTAGTAGTGCAGCACAGAGGCCCGTGGAGCCGAAATGGGTCAGAACTACTGACCTTGAGGCAAAAAAGGTGCAACCACTATCTAAATCTTACTTTTGAATCAATCTGATGATCTAATGATCGATTCCGAAGCAGAATGGTCCCATCCCAGTCCTTCTCCACAAATCCCTTTCCCCCATGGTCTTCAGTCCTGAGTTTTGAGGACTCCCTCCTTATTGGAAGCCCTCCAGCGACTGGGGGCTGCTGGGCTCGCGGGAATTGCCGAAGATCCAGCAAGTCTTTGTACTGAATTTCAGGCCTGATCATGCGAAGGCAAGCTTCCCACGTGGTGTTGTCCAGTCCCGACTGCAACTCATAACCCAAGATCTTCACTAATCCACTCTGGAAAGGGCGGATGGTCTTGTCTCGGATACGACTGGCTTCTATGGGGCGGCCGCCGTCGCGTAAGCAAATGCGAGTGAGAATCTCCCTTTTGGTCCTAAGCAAGGCCACCTCAGTCTCCATCCGACTACGCCCAAAGCGATCTACTTCCTGCCAAAAAGTGAGATTGAAAGCTTGGTAAAGGTGCCAGTCCAGAGCATTCCACTCACGTAATTTTGATTTTTGCTTGTCTGTTAAAGTCAAGGGGGCCGGAGCTGCCTTGACCACCCATCCTGACCTTCCACTGGGCACTTGCTGCCTGGCGTTTAGGTTAAAAGAAACCACAGCATCTAGTGGCCAGCACAGAGCGTGGCGCAGCAGCACCATAGATTGGTCAAAATACTCTGAGAGAAGGATGAGATTGAAGTTCCGACGCACTGCTGCCACACCGCGCTTGACCAGCGCTAGGCTGAAGTTAGAGGTGTGATCCAGACCAAAGTCAAACCACATCAGGTTGCGGGCATAATGGTTGTTTCGGAGTCTGGGGTCATAGTACTTATAGGGGTTGTCTGCAAAATCTCCCAGTCCTTTGGCACGCCTGAAGGCAGGGGCAACGTTTTTGTAGTAGGCATAAGAGGATTCAGCTAGTGCCAAAGGGTCTCGAAGGATGGAGAAATAGAAGGTGTCGGTTGGCATGACCTTCTCAACCTGTAACAAAATTGAAAAAGAGAAGAACATTCCAAATAGGAACATGTTCAATCATGTAACTGAACTCAAATTTAAATGCTTATAGAAGAGGACATTTCTACAGTTTTTCCTGATCAAAAACTCTGAACTAGATTCTGGACTAGCTAGTTAATTAGTATCTAACATCTGCTAGCGTAAATCAAAAGAATTTGCATGATTATGTGGTATTTATTATTAATGAAAACATAATTGTGCTTATTATAGCATCTTAATATAGCTGGTTGTCATAAAGAACTTTATAGCTAGTGTCATAAAGAAAGTGTTTGATGCCCAAACAATTTTAGGCCAGAAAAACAGTATTAATACCTGGATACCTGTTGCCTGGACTCCTAATTAATTTGATTAAATGATTAACCCTAGAACGGCCATGGCGGGCATTTTGACCGTTTTGAATTTTATATCTGCAATAACTCGTTACATTTCCCGCGTCTCTCTCATTGTCAACAGAATATCTAAATAAGATACTTTTAGTTGTCATTATCTTGTTTGAGTTATGTTGAATGGATATGGAAATATAGCCTATCTGTTGTGAATATGCGATAATTGCAGTAGGCTACTAATGATATTATTATTGATAAATGTATAATATAACTTGTTTAAATGTAGTTTGGTGTTGTTTTGTTTTTAAAAGATCTCCTAATACAATAAATGCATAAATCTCTCAATTTGGATATTTATCATTAAAGATATAGAGTTTGGAATCTAGCGGTCAAAATGAATGTAATGAATGTATGAACATAGTGTAATTGCAACAGATCTGTCTGAGAAAATGCCAACTGCCATATGCTGTACCTCTGGTTTGTTGAAACGCATGTGATTTCCCATAATGTCAAATTCTGCCACGTGAGGGCCTCTGTATCCTTTCACCCTCTGGGCGATAAAGGGCAACGGGTAGCCAAATTGGTACCCCACGGGCAGGGCAAATTTAAGGCCCCGCTCCTCTCCAAAGCGATAGAGCAAATTGAGAACGGTGCTGCTTGCTGTCTTATGAGTCTTCAGGAACATGATGTGTGTGTGGGGCTGACAAGACCCCAGAGAGTCCCCTTGGGAATTGTCAGAGGGAAAATTGTAGAGGGAGTGAGGCCTCTCTGGTTGCATCCAGCTAATGGAAAAAAGACAAGAAAAAAATTATAACAAGAACGAAAATGAATCTCCCGTTCATTTCTCTCTCCCTGAAAAATTACGGGATGAACACTGAAAAGGGGAAAATAAATTAAACAAGACAGAAAGGCTTGTCAGGTTACAGATAATTACACAAGAGACATAATTGAGATAAAGTGATTAAGAAAGTAGAGAATAAACACTTCAAAGAGAACGGGTGAGAATAGATTAGCCACAAATAACAAATTCAGAGATACTCTGAGAATATGGAATGCATAACCACTTATTTGTGCCAAGAGGCACATTACATATTCTTAGAATAAATTACGTAATCTCGTACAGAATAATAACACAATATTCTTGACTGGCTAAACAGTTAATTTTTATTTTCATTGTATACCCTCATGTCATTCGAACCTGTGTGACTTCTTTTTTTAAATCAACAGAAGAAAAAAAGACATATTTTGGGGGGGTAAACAAGAAAAAAAATGAATTTCCTTCTTAGAAAAGCCTTTAGAAACATGTCACAGTTGCCTTGAAGTTATTTTGCTTCTGTAAATAATCCAGAAACATTTAAGCAACATTGTTTCGTAACACTGAGTGTTAAATGAAAACAAGCCTTCTATGTATTTAAGCATTTTTTTTATAATGTTGTATAAAGAGTACAGTAAACAAGAGGAGAAGAAATATTTGTGAAAGAATGAAAATAGAAATGGGAACGTTTTCTTACCTTTTGTTGAAGATGACTCCCAGAAGTTGCCCAGCAAAAGCGATCACAACAAATACCAAGAGTGCTTTCCATACGGGCCCCAGCCGATAACATCCCAGCCACCGCATTCTCCTGTGACCAAGAGGAGAACTGTTAGCCTCGACATGATATTGTGCAGCACAGAAGGAGAGTGAAATGTTCAATAAGAGAGAGTCAAATGATAAAAGACAAACAAAGAGGCAATAAAAAAGAAGAGCGTGACCATGCGAATAATTTCAAAAGGAGAAGCCATGAACAGAAACACAATGCCAGAGCAGGGAGAAATTCAATATGACAGAAAAACGGAGACAAGCAGGCAGGTGTATCTGTTGTCATGTCAAATCCACATCTGTAACAGTTAGTTAACACATACAACGGCTGCTTTTAAAAACTCTTTTCCATGCCTTATGTCGCTATTATATATCTGCACCCTTGACTCTCTACCACTCAGGCTTAGATCAAAGCGAACAGACTTTAGTTCAATGCTTCATTGCAAACTATAGTATGCATGAAAACGGGTGTGGAGGAATATTAAACAGGTTGCATGACAAAATAGATGCGAAATTTGCCTTTTTTTTCTACTCTTGACTTGTCTTGTTTAAAAGGATTGCAGAATTCGTTCGGACAAAGAGAGGCTGTCTTTGTCATAAATCACAGATTGCGCCTAACAGTCTAAGCCTGATACACTTACCGAGCTGACCGCCTGAAAGCCATAATAAAACCCGGCCGGTATCACTATAGATCGGCGCTTGGCAATAGCCTCGGTGCATCTCGGCCGATGCCTTTCAAATCCGCCCGACGACGTCTGTGTAATGTAAGTGCTCCATCCGTGCGAATATGGTCTGACAACAGAGCGCCTGCACGATTGCCGTCAAGTGCGTTAAATTTCCCGTTAGCTTGACGTGCATGGATGCGCTTCGCTTTGGTTTCTAGACAGGTTAAGATAGAGAAAAGGGACTGCTAGTGCTTTGTGTTTTGGGAGAGTGTGGGCGGTGTTTAGGGACCGGTCTGCTGCTATGTGAGTCGAGGTCTGACGTCAGACCTGCTCTTTGCTTACAAGCACAAATCCAGATTTGCAAGAACGATAAGCGCAGACATTATAACGGACCACATAAGTAAACAGCACACCCATCGTGGCTAACCACGAATACGGTTTCTCCGGTGCTTTATGACATTTTTTAGAGAATTAGAGGCACACATGCAATGTTTTTCTGGTTTGTTTTGTTGCAAGTTGCATAGGTAGCCTATTATCAGCGATGGGCAACATAAGTCCTGAAGTGCCCTTGTCCTGCAGAGCAGCAGAGTTTAGCTCCAACCCTGATTTTTAACAACAACAACAACAAAATCACCTGTATAGCATCAGTAACCCTAAAGACATTTAGGGTTGAACATAAGCCTGTTCAGATGTGTTAGACTAGGTTTGGAGCAGTGTTGTAGTCGAGACCAGTGCAGACCACCTCACTCGAGTCCGAGTCGACACCGAGACCAGAGAGAGTCGAGTCCGAGTCAAGACCGAGTCCATAGAGAGTCGAGTCCGAGACCAGAGACGGTCGAGTCCGAGTCAAGACCGAGACCAGTGAGGGTTGAATACCTAATTTACTTTTATTTACTTAGAGAAATCCTTTTTTTTTTTACTGAATTTGCTAATAGAGTTTAAAAAATATGATCAGTTTAGGGTAAAAAGGCCACATAGTGTGGTGTTAGAAGTAATTTTATTACAATTTGTCATGCGCAGTTGCGCACTAGAAAATCACCAATCACTGGGCGTGTCAATCAATTTAAAGAAATATTTTATTCACATACATTAATAATCATGAAAAATATTTTTAATTGAACTCGAGTGGACTCGGGAATAATTCCGAGTCCTAAAAAAACAAATGTTCGAGTACGAGTCAATTCCGAGTCCAAATGGACACGAGTCCATGACAAGACCAAGACCATTAAAATATGGTCTCGAGACCGAGTCCGAGACAAATCCGAGTCTCGAGTACTACAACACTGGTTTGGAGCTTAACTCTGCAGGACATGGGCCGACATTGCCCATCCCTGTGTTAGATAAACTATCATTTACATAAAATTAACTTAACACATCAAGACACTCGTGACTTCCATGCAGGTGTGTGAAAAACATTATGTGAGCTGAGCAATATGTCTGACGACAGTAGTGAAAATTACAATGACCTAATTCTTCCACTGAGATTCAGAAGTCTGCATTCAATGGCAAGTTACTATCCCATGAGGCCACTGGAGTGGATTTGTGAATGCCGTAGGGTGCTTCTCAAACAGAAGGCTGGTTCCTTGTGAGGCTGTGTCCTTCCAGTCCTGCGGAGGCTAGGCTAGAGTCCTCCTCAGCATTGAACGCCAGAATGAGAAGGTCTAGTAAGTGTGTATGCCTACATCCAGTGGCGTAGCGTCTGGGTATGAAGGAAATGCACATGCATATGGGCCTGGGCAGATTGGATTCATTATACGCAGCATGATGTGCAGCCCGGAATGCAATTTCAACTGATGGGGCCCGTTAAAAAAATTGTTTTGCTTATGGTTATGAATGGTATTGATGCGAAAATACTTTTCCAAATTATAATTAGAAAAATACTTTAACAGCAAAACTGGCTTTGTATTAATGCAGCACACGTAATGGCAACAATCTGTGGTCTCCAAGTGGTTTACATTACGCATGGTAAAACATTATGTGATTAATATACAGCAACAAAAAAGAAAACATTATACCTTTAACCCCAAAATATATTTTTTGTCTTGCATTATGCAGTGAAATTGGACAAGCTCAATCCAGATTCATTTTCTGCAATTTTTTTGTGTGAATGTGTGAAAAGGATTGTGGGTGATTGGGGGATGCGAAGGATACTCTTGATGCATCCTTTGAAGAACATGAAACGAATGCAGTCTTTAAAGGATCCTCTCAAATGAGACATTTGACTGAGTTTGATGACGTGGCAACCCAAACATGCAGCCTTACTAGGACGCAACCATCTGATTGAGAAGCATCCACTGAAGGCGGCAACTGACATGACGGTGACAAGATGGGGAATTTAGAATGTCTGAATTTTATTTGTACACACATTTATTGAACAGTGGTTCCCAAGTTTTAGTGTGGCGAACCACCTGAGGCATTTACCAACTGCAGTCAAACATTTTCCTTTAAGGGATAATATTTAAATTGATTTTCAGGTGCATGACCCTGAAAGGACGACCTTTATAAACCTGGATGGCTTGAGGGTGAGTAAATCATGGGCTAATTTTCATTTTAAAGTGCAACTTCTCCTTTAAGAGTGAAATTGAAAGCTAAGATATGTGTACTATTGACCCGATATAGCCGGATATATCAGGTCAATAGTTAACCTAGACCTGCTTGCTGGTATATAAGCTGATTATAAGAAAGAGAAAGAGTTAATGCAGAAGAAATTATTCAAATTGGACATCATGGATTGCAGTGTTGCATTGTGTTCAGTGTTGCCTAGAGTGAGGACAATGCAACAAAGAAATGTTGAATAGCAGTGCAGAAAAGAAACACTGGCATGTCCTCTAAATATGTAATTAACTAACACCCACTCACCAGATGAAATCTAATAAAACTGCAAAACTCCTTCAGGGATTCTTGGGATGACAAATAGCTCAAAATAGAACCAATAACACTCCTGAAAGCATTTTCCAAGCAAGCAGCTACAAAAGCTTCTAAACAAAACTGTTATTTTTGAGGCCCTGATCACAAGTGGTCAGTAGAGACAGATGGCCCTTTACATCTTGTATGCGACCGCTTATCGGACCTGTGATCGGATTTTGTTGAGGGAAAGGATTCTGTTTTGTCACAGCATGCTCATTACTAACAACATCAGCGCTTTTGTTTTTTATTTTTACACATTATTTTTTTTGTATTCCCACAAAGGTAAGGAGTGAAATGCTCAGTACAGCTCTTTGCCTAAGTCAAGAGGTCAATTTCGCCCTTAAAGGAGTAGTTCACTTTAAAATGAAAATTAGCCCACGATTTACTCACCCACACCAGGTGTTCACTTCTGATGGCTTTAGGGCGAGTAAATCATGGGCTTATTTTAATTTTCGAAATTTTCAAGGACTCATATGCAATTTTTAACAAGGACTCATTTCACTGTATGAATTTAAATAGGCGTCAGGTTTAGATTCCCTGCATCTGGTTTCCTGGATTTTAACTCATTGGCGATATTAATGTTCTTAATCTATTTTGTTGTAAGTAAATGTAAACATGCTGGACATCTTTGTGTAAAAATATTGGATGCACAATTGGATTTGTGGATGACTTAATGCAATTAGTTGCCATTTAGCAGCTTTAGCAGCTTTTTCTAAAGCAGCTTACACTATGCTAATTGCTGGAACAGTGCCTTGTAGTAAGTTGCTAAGGAACAGTATTAATACAAATGTTTTTTCATTAAAAAAAGAGCAGTCTCTGGTTCACATTTACTAAAAGAACCACAACTTTTTTTGTTGCAACACCCTTAAAAATAAATGTTCCAAAGGGATTCACAGCAATGCGGTAGAAACATAGAAGCCACAGGTTCCCCAAAGACCTTTTCAGCAAGCAGTTCTTTAAAATAACTTTTTCTTCCACTAAGTACCCTTTATTCAATCAAAAGAGTCCATGTATGTTAAAGGTTGTTAATTGAACAATCAATGTCAATAAAGAACCTTTATCTCACATGTGATTATCAACTGTCTGAATGGAAAATTTGTAAACCAAGCTTGGTTCTAGTCACTTCCCCTTTCTTATCACACCGCAGGTTAGACTCTTAGAATGAAGTGAATCTGATTTATAAGCTGCCTGTAGCTTGAATTGTGTGCATAAAGGTAATATATAAAGGTGACTGTATATATGAAGAGTTCAGATGCAAAAGCCTCTAAATGCCATTTGAAATTTTCTTCTTTAATGATGATTTTTATCAAACTTGTATATTTAAGTTCAGTAATTTCACTTAAATAACAATTAATAGGTAATTATCATTGCCATTTAAGTGAAATTACTGAACTTAAATATACAAGTTTGATAAAAATCATCATTAAAGAAGAAAATTTCAAATGGCATTTAGAGGCTTTTGCATCTGAACTCTTCATATGGTGATGAATAGCTTTCATATCTTTTATTAGTTGAAACCTTTAAATGCTACATTTTGCATGATTTTGTTTCAGGAACCAGATTTTACAAGTGACAAACAATAAGAAAATATGTATTGGGCAAACGTAACAACATGTAACAAAAAGGTAAACATTTTTAAAATTAACATGAAAGTGCATAATTATTGTTTCTATTTTTTGATTATTTGTTTTTATGTGTTCAGATCCCGTTCCAACAGGCATCTTATAGTTTGAGTGTTTGGTTTCTGCTTCTTAACTTTAATGGTTTCATTCTGTCTGCAACCAATATTTCACTGCACAAAATATTCAATAGGTGAAAGTTAACACATATTTAAATTAGTCAGGGTCAATTTAGCTTTTGTTTAGTTTTGTTCATGGCTTTTTGAGAATGAGGGCATGGCACGCAACCTGACCATGTTGGCATTTACCTAAATTGTCTGCTGATGCACAGCCCTTGACGTCAACAACAAAAGGTAAGTGAAGCGTTTTCTCTTACCTTTAATTTGCTATCCAATACATGAGAATACAGAAACTGTATACTAATGTATTGGACAGCAAAATAAAGGTAAGGGAAAACGCTTCACATAGCACTTTTTCCTTTCTGTCTAGGATCCAATCAGAACAGAGGTGCAACCCATTTTTAAGTGTTCTACAGTATTGAGGTACCAGTAGTCCTTTACATGCACGTCTATATAGACCTAACCCCATTTAACTGTGGTAGACCTCTGGCCCATCACCAGGTAATAAGCATCAATGAGGGATGATTGGACAATCTGTTAAAGCAATTTTGAAAATATTTGTGAGTGTAAATTAAAACTGATGGTTCCTGAAAAGGGTCCACACCCATGTTTTCTGTTCAAAAAACAAAACACAAGTAATATTGAACCAGTGATAAAACCGTGAAACATAATCATCCAAATGAACATTTCAGTTCATCTGGGAAATATTTGGTGCACCTCTTTCCATCCAGAATCCTGGTCTAGAACAATACATTATATAATACAGAACATAAAAAACATTAAAAAAAATATAGCAGTCTTTAATTGCTGCTTCTTTTCACAGCAGTTCAATTCAGGAACAAATCATTCAGACCAGTTTTGTGAGCTATAACAACCAATGCAGCAAAATAAACACAAAATAACTCAACATTCTTCTCTCATAAATGTGCCAATGAGAGCTAGATCATTTTCATTTTATTCGGTTATTTTTATATATTGCACGTGACGTAAGCCACATGGGTCATGTTTATGATATAAGGTGTTTTTGGTTGTTGTTGTTATTGTTGTTTTTATCATTTCAGAGCTTGATAGCTTTGGTTGTAATTGTTTTTTTATAACTTAATCAAAAAGTGACCAGGATATTCTTCCAAAATTCAAGAAAGCTTAGTCAGGTTTAGAAAAACATGAGGGTGAATGAATGAGTAATGACAGCACTTTTGGAGGACTCACTATCCCTTTACGCTTTGTGTGAGAAAGACAATCCCTTGGGGAAACTTCAGAACAAGACAAAAGTTGGTACTTTGCAGAAAATTGGAAAGTGGACAACAGTCCAACCTTGTTCCACAGGCATGACACCAACGTAGCCCTTCAAGAAACTTGAGCTGCTAAACAAGCTTACCTTCACAAATCGACCCCCATAGCCGAATAATCTACTTACTCGGGATGACTATAGCAACGGAAAAGCGCTTCATGTCATTAGACGTTGACCCGACACATAACGTTATTCAGGACAAAAGTAAACAGAATTAGCCTAGATAAAGTATAAAAGTGACTAAAAAGCAGCCTATGAGCAAATAAAGTGTAAAACTAATCGCAGGGAAAATGGTTTCAATAAAATAATTATCATTATCACTGTTATCAGCGTTATCACTATTATCAGATAACGTTATGTGTATCGGCTGTGCGGTCAGATTCATATATTTTAATATAAGAACCCAGCCAGGACGACTCTGAAGTAATGGACCCTGCCTATTTGTTATATTATAAGGTCTACTTACCCAAATTGTGTCTCAGAGAGGCGTCAGTGCAAATCTGTGGCTGTTTCTTAACTCCAAGAGCAAAGAAATGTTAGTTCTCGCGGTACTCAAGCATTCCTGTGTGAATCAAGTCTACGCGTGTCTTCCGTTATAACCAACTGGCACCGAATGCAACAAAGTTTTGTGTTGATAAACAGCCCGCCACGCTGAGATAGTTGACTGCCCTCAGCAAACTACATTATACGCGATCTTACTCGTTTAAGAAATTCCTCGCGTCTGCCTGCTAAGACAATCCATCTGTCCCAAGTTCCCAACCCCCATCCATTAGGCTACTGTATATTCCCGTCTGTCAGCTCTCTGTGCGTGCACGCGCGGCGCGCTCTCTTCACTCCGTAGGGAGAGTGTAACTTTATCCTGTCCGCTGCAACATCTTACTACCATACTACATTTCAGTGCTTTTGTTGCAACACTGGAGAAATAATTGTGATAGTTGTGTTGGAACAATCATTTATTCATTAATTGAATCCACTTATGAAAATAGATGTTCTTTAATGACACATGGTTACTTGAAGATCGTTTAACATCCATGATGGAACCTTTCAAATCCACAAAAAAAGGTTCTTTAGATTTTAAAATGGTATTCACATAAAGAATGGTTCTTTTAACTGTTCACTGATTCTTTGGGGAAGCAAAAATGATTCTTGCAAAAATATATTTTAATGTGTGTATGTATGTAGGCCTTTAAACATAAATAAGGACGTGACCAAAATGTAGGTTTACAATTAAACGTTTAAAATAAAAATTAAATTAACGACTTAAAATTCTATTCGAAATTTGTGTACAATATCAAGATAAAATTCATGAAATACACAGCTATTATTATAGCTGTTAGTAAGTAAAGAGTTAGTAAGTTAGGAAGTGTATGTATCTTGTCAATATCTACATAAAGTTTAATCACATTTTACCCTCACTATGAGACAAATCTTTTTTTTTAAATGTTCTGTTTTCTTTGAATTCATTCCAAAGTCATGTAAATTGATAACAAAAGGCCTTATGCCTAGTAATCCTTTTTCCATACTTTTTAAAGTCAATAAATGTGGAATAAATGTGTGATCTGTTGCTTATGACACAGAAGAACTGACAACTCCGAGGTTTTATGTGTCACTGTACACCCAAATATGCGACCCCCATCTGTTTCACTCACATACAATATCCAAGGCCAAACAAAAGCCCCATTCATCTCTGAGCTCTTGCTCCGCCAGCTGATACTGAATAATGAACCTCAAGGGGAATCTGGGGATCACAAGGCTCACCATTTTCATCGTCTGAAATCAGACTGAGCCTGGTCACTGAAATCCAGTCTTTTCAGTAATTTGTTTGTGAATAATGCTTGCTTGGCCAATGTTTTGAGTATGTGGGCCTCAAAAGCTTAAAGACAAAAAGATGAAAGTCTTAAGCAAAACTTAGTTAGCAACCTTGTTCCTTCAACAAAGGGGCCAGTTAGAAGATAAATGTTGGCCATCCCAGTCCTGTTTTGTCTTGTTGAAATGGTCAGTTGCCACCTGGATGCACAATGAACAAGAGTGGGTGCAGATCACTCTGTCAAGGACGTGTCCAAACACACCGGTGGCCCTAATGAACCACATCTTGGCTGAAACAGCTGGATCCCTAACTCATTCCATCTAAAATTATATTGTCATTTTGTGATGATTGACGATGACAAGAAAAAGGGCCTGTTTTGCATTCTTGCAATTGTGACTCACATCTTGAACATGTGGATCCTTTTTCATTTTTAGGAATGTGAAACAAGGCCTTGAGAGATATTAGGCTACTGTCAAGTTGTCAGGTACGAAACACAGGATCCAATAGCGAATGAATAAAAGGTTTATTTAGAAGTAGCAAGTGAACAAGACAGGCTGGCCAGAGAATATATCTCGGATCGGCAGTTTGGCCCTTGGCAGGACAGAGACTACAGTGGGCTGGAAATCCAAGAAGACAAAGGTCCACAGAAACAATGACAAACCCAACCGGCCACAAGTCCAAACTCTGGAACAGACGAGAAGAAATAATCCGGTAGAACAGGAACAGGAAACGGGTGAACTGCACAGACAGATTACCAGAACAACGATCTGACAACATGACAAACAGAAGACTACAGAAGACTAAAATATACTTTTGAAATATTAATTTTCATTTATACAGTACATTTATAGGCTATAATTATAGGAATAATTATATAAATCATTATTACATTATTATAATAATCGTTTGGCATCCTAAAACAGATTGAGACTTTATATCATGACTAAAAAGATGTTTGATCCCTCTTTAATGTCCAGGCTTGTACCTGGACCCCTGCAGGCTTTTATCTCTTCTTCTCCCAAACCGAATTAATCAGAAATTACTTTGCAAGTTACTTGCTATAGGGATGATGTTAGGAAGTGATATTCAGCTTGCAACATTTTTAAGGATTACAGTAGTTAAAACAGCTAAACTTCAGCTGTAAATTTTAGCTGTAAAATGCCACATGCAGCTAATATTAAGAAATATGTTGTGCTTTTACTTTTATAAATGTTGGTAACATTACAGTTAATGCTTACAAACTTTGAAGATTTTGAATAAAGAAGTTACATTTGTAATGGTGTAGCCTATTTTCATTTAGATGTGGTAATATTATTTGTGCAGGCAGTAGCTAAGATTAATTAGCCTACTGCATAAATTAATTAATTAATCATTTTAAGACAGCATGGAATGGATTGTTAGCTATCATTTGTATTGGTATAGTATCATGAGACACAATTAAAGTCTTGTGACACTCATGCCAGGCGGCGGGGGTTATTGTTGTTGTTGTCCTGTTGCTTATTGTTGTCCGCCGATTGCTTTGGGCCGGGCCTAGTCAAAGTCCATGGGGCGTTTTTTAGTCCCAGTCTGTCCCTGTGTAGGTCTATAGTCCTACATCAATTTTTCTTTACATGGTTTCTAGATTTAATTATTATTATTATTATTTAGCATGTTTTACATGCTTTCAGAGTGGGGGCATTTCATGGCCAAGGGCAAAACAGTATAGCTACAAATTAAATTGTTAAAAAATAATAACATGAAAACTGGACATGTTTAATACTTGGTTTATAATTAATGTCACTGTCACTAAAAACATAACTATTCTTGACAAAAAAAAAAACTTTTGTTCTAACTACTAGACTACCGCTTAATATAAGACCTCTGATGCAAAAGCCTCTAACACCCAAAAGCCTTCAGAAATGCCGGTACTTGGGTAGAAAGGAGACTGATAAAAATGTTAACATTAAACCTGAATTTTAGACGGACTTAGAGGCTTTTGCATCTAAAGTCTTCATATGTTTAATAGAGAAATAAGTAGGCTACTATGTTATATATAGACATATCTTTAGATGTAGGCTAGGTAACACAGTAAAGGGAGATGGGTTATTATAATCCAGTAGGGGGCAGTAATCTTAATTATTAGTCTCAGTGACAAAGCATAGTAAATAGTGACATCTAGAGGCTGTTTCAATTGCACCATTTTCTCACATTATGGAAGAAAATTGTTTGCATGGAACACCCAAAAATGAAAAATCTGTCATCATTAACTCACCCTCCAAACATGTTCTTTTTTTTTTGTTGGACACAGACGAAGATATTTTTGAAGAATATTGGTAACCAGACAGAAAAATACGGAAGTAAGATGAAAAAGTGTTCTCATTTTTGATTAATGGAAAGCAAAGTTACAGTATATTAGATGTGGGTGTTAAACAACAAAATAATAATAATAAAAAAAATAATAATAAAAAACACAAACAAACAAACAGACTGATCGTCTATTTTATTCTTTTAAAATCACCTTTATCATAATCATCATCATTTTCAAATGTTTTGATAGTTCAAAAAATACACAGTTCTGATTTTTCATAAAGGAAATCAGTTTTAACTGCTTCAATATGAGGTACCAGTCAGACTCCTCGCTTCTTGTAATATACAAGGATGGAGTATTTTTTCACCAATGATCTTGTCCATTCTACCCTTTCTGAGTCACTATTAGTGTTTTGCATTTAAGGTAGAGGAATATGCATAATTTCAACAAACCCCTTTTACTATATGAACAAAATACAGCACATCTAAAACCCAGCTAGTAAAAATATCAGTGTTAAAAAAATGAAATCCAAAGTAAGGTAATCTAAACTTTGTCTGTAATGCAGCAATACTAGTATATACAGTCAATGAGGCCAGCTTTGGTGTCATTTATGATCATACCCTAAAAGCATGCACATAACATAATTTGCTTCTAAGCATACAGTACAGTGCTTTAAATGATACCACACATCCCCATTGGACTTTGTAACCCAATATGACGCACCCCTCCGAATGGAAAGCATTACAACCTCTCAAGAGATCAAATGTAATAGAAACTATTAGATAGAAGAGGGTAGGAAGGGCAAGGGGAGGGCAAAAAGGGGGGGGGGGGTTGGGGGGGTTGTGCTGGATTCATTCACCAGGGCCTCCACATGGAAGGATCAGCCCCTAGAAAGAAAGGGGGAAGGGCCACTTGTGCTGGAGACTGAGGGGAAGGAGACCTGTGGGGAGAAGGCTGTTCTTGGGGTCTATCTCTATTCAGTGGAACTATGGGCGAGTAAGTGGGACTGGAGGGTGGGGAAGGAGATTGAGGAGATGAAGGGGTGTGCAGGTGGAGAGGGTGAGCCTGTAAGGAAGGCAGGTTTAAAGGGGAATGGGTCGGGGACAGAGGAACAGGGCTCGGGGTGCCAACAGAACTTGTGCTACCAGCCTCAGTGCTGATATGGGGAAGAGATTTCAGCAAGTGGTTTAGCAGACGTGCACCAAGAGTCTTGTCCATCCCAGGGCAGCTCAGGAGCAGGTTGTGCACCTCATGCATGCATTGAATGTACCCGCTACCATATCTTTGTCGAGACTCAAAACCAGTGCCTGGACTGTGACTGCCACCTGAAAATCAAAGCAAAATAGAAGCATGGGAGTGATTTTACTTCATTTAATCATAATAGAATCTTGCACACAGTTCCTTTGAGAAAAATAATCATCTAAAGTCTTTATTCAGAGGCAATAAAAATACGAAAGTGCTCAGTGCATAGCAAAAAAAAGTGCAAAATATTTACTGCCCTCAAATCACCATCAGTACACATAGATTTACATATAGATAGTTCGGCCTATTTACCATACTTTTAAAACTAAATGTTACATGAAGTCAACTGGGGAAAAATATAGTTGTATACTTCAATAATATGATATATATCATTTATTTTTTTATGTAAACAATCATACATTTCCCCTT